TGTTATTGAATATATCCATTCATTAATGAAAAGAAAAAATTTTTTTTATTCTATGCTAAGGGATTGGAGAAAATCATATGGATTCAACGTTTATTCGGATACGATATGATTTTATATAAATTAGATGATTTAAATTGTCCAAATTTAAAGAATTTATATATTAAAAATATAAATATAAATCCTTGTAAATATCATAAAAATTCTATATGTGCTGAAAAAATGTAATAATATTAAGAAAATTTATTTCTTCATTAAATATCTAATAATATATAAAAATAAATAAGTAATTATAAAACTTTATTTTATTTCAAATAAATTTTTTTTTGTTATCATCAACATCAGCAGACCTTTCCATTCATATGTGAAAGATGAAAAGATTTCGTATTATTTTTGAATTTGTTAGACATTCGGTGACTCTTTTGAATTTAATAAATTTGTCTTTCAATGAATATAAACGCGAAAAATAAGTATCCTAATCTTTTTTTGAAACGATGTATTATTAATATTTATCTCCTGCTTTCTATATCAAAATATGAGTTTTCATAAGAACTATGCTTAACAACTTTTCTCACTAAGTCAGCAATATATGAATGAATGAATAATGCTAGATGAATAAAACATTTAAATATACACATACTTTTATGAGCATTTTTTTATATGTGACCTGGTCTACGGAAAGGGGATTTAGGTGCCAAAAAATCAATTTTCACTTTTTGGTTGATTCGGATGGAAGATGAGATGCTTTTTCAAGTGGTGAAAAGCAGAAAATCCTAACTTGCTTAGAAGTGTACTAAAAATGTAGAGAAAGAAGAGTAAAAATACGACAAAATATAATTTATTGGTAATGAACAAAATACATTGAATTATAAGCTATAAGTACATGATTATACACTTGAAAAACGTATTATGGACCAAAAATAATAATGCTGAGTAGTTTATGTATTTTTCTTTGTTGTCGTTTTCCTTGAGATCTTTTTACGTGTTGATCCTGAGGAAGATGGACCTGGTTCCTCGTCTGGTTTGAGAACATCTTCACTAGTTTTTGCCTTCCGTTTCTTCGATGGCAAATCTTTCGGCAATGGAGCCACAATATCTACTTTAGATATATCCGAAACTAAGCTGCGAAGATTGTGATAGATGTACCACTGACGTTCCAAAGATAAACCGGCTGGTAAACGTCACTTCTTCAATGTTACTTTTTTAAATGTTCCACACTAGAAACTTACACGATGAACTATAATAATATTCCGACCAACAACAACACTTACTGGACCAACAACAACACTTACTGGACGTCCGGCGCGGAGAACAATTAACGAGATAATGAGAAACTGACGAAACGAGTTGCTTACTTTTAACAGCTTTTTCACAGAAAACTAGTTTTCGCACGTAAGCTCCCTTTTCGTAGACCAGGTCACATATATGTTTTTTACAAATACAAATAAAATTGTTCATAACCCTCCAGTACTTCTGGAGTCAATCGCTACTTTTGAACCGCTACTACACCGACTCCTAGGTAAGTACCTACTCTATTAACCCGTGGTAGTGCACATGGTAGTGCAGAGTCGAACCAGTCGGACAGAGGGCGCCCATAAACCACACAGGTGACTACTTTAGTAACTCCCGGTAGTGCAGAGAGAGCCGATGGTGACTACCGCCTAGGACATTGCCTTGTAAAAGTAATCGATGAAATACACTGCAAGTAGTCGGTCGGTAATTGACGGAGTTTATCAGGTAGCCACCGATTCATCAGTCCTGTAATCGCTCCCCCGTACTGCAGGGAAAGGATGGCCGCACGAAAATGGGCACATATGTATTTTAAAAAAGGACAGTATATGTATGTGGATAAACCATGGACTGAATGATAAAAGCTGCTATCATTCGATGGTTGTTATGCTTTATTATTTCACGTTCTGCATATTTCCCAATCTTTTAAAGAAAAAAAAGTTTAGATACTAATTGTCTTGGAACTTTTTGCACTCAGTTTTTAAACAACCAAAACTCTAACTTTGTACAATATGTTCATGTGAATCAAGCTGCGTTTCATGCGTGGAGGAGTCCAAGCATAAGCATGCATTCGTAGGACATGGCTTAGCCCGCGTGGCCGCTGTGCATTGATACGCGACACTAT